GAACGTTATGAATTGTATGGAACGCAACTGAATCAGAATATTGTACAGATGAGTGCAAAGGTAAGACTAAAATGATTAAAAGAACAAAATTTATGGAAGCTAGTCGAAGAACTTCTGGTAAAAACACAATTTGAAGCAGATATTCTTTTTTGCAGCTGGAAGAAATATCAAATGAGAAGTTAGTTTTGGAATCAAAAGTGCAGACTTTAGAAAGTCAAATAGAAATGCTGCAGGCAATTGATAGACCAAATTTAATAAATGAGGATAATAGATATGCTCTGGTTAGTTTTCTTGGTAATATAAAAGTCCTTATCGTTTCAAAACATTTTTGAATGGTCTCAGCTTACCGATGATAAAAGTATCATCAAGCGGCATATAAATCGGGAAATACTGTTTTCTTACTCATTTTGCAAATATGTGCATAATACAACGTATGATTCGAATATATGTTTAAAACTGGAAAAAAAATATATGGCTTTCATAATTCTATCTTTTATGATCTGAAATTGTTATTTGTTTGAAACTTTAGAATTTAGTCGAACTGCAAAAAGTACAAAGTAAATTGACTGAAGCGGTGTATGATAATCAGAAATTGAAGCAATCAATTGAGGAATTGAAGGCAAAACTTATAAATAAAGAACAAGAAGTTATTGCATTGTCTTCCGCGCTTAGTGATGAGGTTCTTTTTATGAAATTCAGTTTTTGTCTGTAGTATTTCATTAAGCTTGAACTATTCGTGGGACTGTTCGTCGCACTGCACTGATAATAAATTTCTCGATGTTGTATAATTGATTTCAATTCATCTCAAATTGTTGAGGCATCGATAAAGTTGCTCATTTTTGATTTGTTTAACTATTCACTTATCCATACTCTATTTCCATTTAAGTCATTCAGTTTTATCTTTGTGAACAACTCGTTTAATTATCAACAAATATTATATATAAATGATATATAAATATGAGGTTGACAGATAAAAACTTCATTGATTTTTTAACTATAGGTCAAATATGGATTTTTTTTTAAAGTATATTTGTAGAAATCAAAGTTGATGGAAAAAACTGCTGAATTGGTTTTGGTTGAAGAATCGTTATCAAAAGCTCGTTCTCTTGCTGAGGAGCAGCAAAAACATACGGAGGTTGGGTCAATATTTTAAAAATAGTCTCACACGTTCTGGGTCGTATTTATGTAAACAAACTTAAATTCTTAAGGGAGCGCTTTCAATATCACAACAGCTGCAGAATGAAAAAGCTACAGTTTCAAGAGCTATTGCGCAGAATCGAGAATTGAAGGAACAATTAGTCGAGCTGCAAGATAAATTAATAACGGTTACACAGGTAATTTCTGGCTTTCTTCATGTTCCTGAAGTCATGATTTTTTGACTTCTTTTAAGGAGTTATTTATTTAGAAGTTTGTAGCGATATGCAAAATTAATCTATACTAGTCAAAATTTTTGAGAACCAAATTAATCAATTATTTTTGTTATATATATTTTTAATAGAAAGCTCTGGGTTAGCAAACTTCTTGCACTGTATAGATAGTAACTTCGGCATCACAGAAATCATACTAATTCATAATTCAGGAAAGTATGGAAAGAGAAAGTGGACGACTGAGTGCATTGCATCTGGTTGGTCAGTTAAGAAGTGAATTGAATCGGCTTTCTGGTCAATCTTTTGACAGTAAAAATGTTGATTCTTTGACAGTTCCAATAATACCGGATGGCTATGCATATCAGCAGCAGCAACATATTCAATATATTAATTCACGAGATCGTGATGAGGTAAACACGAAACATAATTTGTCAAATATAAAAAATAGAGCCTACTTTGTTGGAGTTTTATTTTCATTCATTAGAATTTGCATAGAGATGTCATACGAAACTTGCCCAATGCTCGGTGTCTAAGTCTATGGCTCATAAACAGTGGCTTGAGTTCAACACCTTTAATTCTTAAATCTTTTTCGAATCGATTTACCGCAATATTTGATTTAAGTCACTCAAAACTAGATATTATGTATTAATGTATATTGATTTTATTCCATTGTACACTTTCAGTAAGCTCAAAAAATTAGTTTTAAATACACAGCTTGTAACTTTTGGGTTCTCGTATTCCAGACTATTTCAACTCCATCGGTTTCTGAGTGCTATGAAAGAGATATGTCGCTTTCGCACACAGAAGATACTCATGCGCATACTGAAGTAGAATTAGCCAATGTTAGAATGGTTTTGGATGAATTAAGACTTGATCATAGACGAGTAGTGCAGGAGAATGAGGAATTACGCAGGTATGCTTGATCATTAATAGTTATATGGTTTATTAATACTGTTTATGCTTTTAGAACTGCAATGTTTTTCAGCACCTTGGATTCAGAAATGTTTAATCAGCCATAATCCTACAGTTCGTCATTTTTTTCTTATTTTAGGATAATGGAACAAAATTCTGAAGATGAAAACCAGAATACCATACACGTTGAACTGGGACAAGCAGTTGAGAGGTATTGTTCTGGAATATCTATTCTTTATTGGTTAAAGTAGTTATTAAGGCTCACGTATTGCATTAGTATTTGTAATACTGTTAGTATTTTGTCTAATAATTTTTGACTTTAAAAATTACTAATAATACTCAAGTGGAATGTTGACTGTCGTTTCAGGATCAACACATTGTCTACTGAGAATGAACAATTACGGAATGATGTCAGCATATTGCAAGAGAAATTAAACAATGCATCGGTGTCAAGTAATATTACACCTTCATCTTTTCACTGTGATACAATATCATCTGCTTGGACAAATGATGATGTTGTAAAACAGCAGGAAGGTTAATCTATACGTATTTGGAGAAGCAATTTATAGACAATGTTGGATAGTTGCAAAAGGGATGTAATTTATTTTATCCGGGTTCTTAAGATCCTGTTATAATTCGTGACATACCGAAAATGAATAAACTGCTCAGAGTACAATTATTCTTTTTAATCCAAATTCAATATTATTGATTTTAGCATCTTCAGTAAAAGAAAAACCGCTGGCTTGGACAGAATTGGAGACTCGTTTCACTCGGGCGATGCAACAAGTTGCAGATCTTGCCGAAGAAAAGGAACAACTGCAACATATTGTAATGCAATTAGAGACTGAAAATGATACCATCGGTGTGTAGATGATTGATCGCGTTAAATGCTGATAATCAG